ATCTCTCAGCGTCTCTAACCATAGACAATCCTCATCCCTTGGGCCCCAACCTGGAAGGCGGGCTGCACCAACCGAAGCCAAAGCTGAAGCCAGCTTCTTCATGCCTCTAGCCCATGTCATGGTCTGACCGCCGCGCCGCTTCTTCCAGCCTTGCCCGGCGCGTGCAAAGAGAGCACGAAAAGGTAGTCGATGGGCAGGCATACGTAATACGTGACCCAGCCATTGGAGGCGGTGTAGAGCGATTACTTCTGTTAGGGGGCGACTATCCGCACCCAACACACGACAACAGACCTCGTCGTTGCTCACCCGGTGTTCCTACCAGACACGAGCAATGCTTCGGAGACATCGGTGGTCAAATACAGAAAGTCGATTAGCACCTCCTCTCGGAGAAGCTAGGTCTCGCAACCGTAAAGCAGAACGCTACGAACTGCGGCGATATACACCCTTCCCTTAAGGGATAATCGGGTGTCATGGCGGCGCCACAGGTGTCGCAGGTTGGCGGAAGCTGCTCTAGCTTTCGCCATTCGTGATGTGATCTCGTCCCCAACACCACCACAAGCTGCGATCAAGCTCTCGACTACTTCCAGCTGATCACCACAGAGGGTGAGTGCAGGCACAGGCTCCTGCCAGTTTTGAACAAGAACTTTGCATTTGGAAGGTGCAAAGCACATACCATATCTGGATACCTCGATCGCCAAGCGGTTCAGAGCCTCTTGGACTGCCTGTGTGTTGTCACCCAGCAAGGCGATGTCATCGGCATATTCCAAGTGAAGAACTCTGTTCCCTGGAAGGAGTTCAACCCCACCGTTTGCTAGACCGAACAAAGCAGGATTTCGACCAGGTCGCGGTTGTATTGACCACAAAGTAGACAAACGATCGCAGTATCCCTTAAACTTTCGTCCTAGACGAGATAATGACGAACGGACTAATTGGACTTCGAAATTTTGCCATGAATTGCGCAGCTGGAGCAATGCTGTGCAATTTAGAGTGCGCTGATGACATTGATCTAATGTATGGAAGTCGTGCAAGATGCATTTGAAAGACAAATTGCTACTCTGGTTTACGCTTTGCACCTTAAACTGCTAAGTGATGACGGAAAACAGTTTTCATCTCGACCCTAATGCTTGATGGTTAAGAATTAGTTGCAATAAATTGCTTCTCCTATGTAGACAGTTGCGTGACAAATGACGGTAGCATAGTGCAGAGAGTATTCGAGACGTGACAAGCGTACACAAGACAAACTCTCGGCATTGACGTAACGTTTGATTGAAGTTGAAAGATTATCTTAATTGTACCACCGTTCTCATTTCTGCTTTACAGATGCGAAACCCTGGGTAGGTGAGCAAAAGAGAATATAATGAACGAAAAAGGAAATTTTTTCATCGACTAGAAGCTTTCGGCTATCGATGCCTAAGTGGTTTGGCACAGTTTAAATGGAGTACCCGGGTGACTAGCCCTGGAGTGAGCTGATTAGCGTTTAGTGATGATTCGTGGATAATTCGTTCACATCGAATTCAGGTTAGCGAGCCTCTGACTGCATCCGAACGGTTGGGGTGTCTTGGGATGCAACTAGTCACTTCCTTTGCACGTGATAAATGTTCGCAGATAAATGAGCCTTTCAAAAGCCTCAACCGAAAAAAAACTGCCTTCGCATGATGTTGATGAGAGAATGATGTTGGTGGAGAATGAACAACCAGCATCTAGAGTTGGAGCCCGGTCGGGGAACCATTGGCGGTTCGCTTAGAGGAGTTTGCAAAAATCCTTGATTCCAAACCAAACAAGTCGCACCCACCCACATCTTGGTTGTGGCAATGGTCACCGGCCTAAATTTTTTGACAGCAGACGGGGTAGACCCCATATTCACGAGGACCCGCTGTTCAGTGATGGAAAGGTAAGCCAAGAAAAATTGCTTACCACCAAAGCTGAGTGTTGGTAGCTGGGCTCAAACCGCAGACCATAGGGTCCAAGGCACATCCGTGACTGAATAAACCACTGCCCCACCACCACCTTAAAGCGTATTGTGCACCTTGGAAGTTTGACCACATCTAAAGGGCTTATACTCCGATGAACTAGACACCGGTCTTCATCAAACTGCGGTTTTCCCGTCGCACTGTTTTGCGAATCAGGCTTTGGTTGTGAATCCCTGCTTTGGCCCTGGTGACGCGGCAGTATTCCGTCCACTAACAATTCATCGATGTTTTTCTTTGTAGTTAAGTTCATAGTACCTCGGCTCGTTTGATATTCTGAACTCAGACGTGTATGAGATACAATAAGGGTTCACTGATTAAAGCGCTTATTGCTCCAGCCCACATGCGCTCACCGCATCGCAAATTATTCGCAGTTGCTGTTCCAGACCGGAGAAAATCAGGTAGCATGAAGCAGTGCATTTGACGATTAGGTAGAGTAGGTGTCTCGTCTTCCCGGTTTAGTTCCAAGAGACTGGTTTGTTGGAGACTGAATGATACTGCAACATTCTGGCGTTCTTGTTACTTCTCACCAGACTTGAATGCTTGAAAAATGGCATCATCATCGTACGGCGAAATACAGTGAGTCGAACTTCACAGATCGCCACCAAACTTGCAATGCACACAAGGTTAATGGTACCATGTAAAGTGGTCAGGGATTGGAGTCAGTTTTAGAGAGGAGAAAGATGGTGAACCTCTATGGTCGACACAGTGTGCATACATATCATTTCAAGCATTCCGGCCCAATAAATGACAACAAGAACGCCGTTGCTATCGGTTCGCTGCCATATCCTTCAATGTCCCCTACCAGCCGGTTGCGGAGTCTTTCGAACCCCAACTGGAAGGCGCGTGACACCTCTGCCCAATAGTTCTGTGGATTTTTCGACGCCTCGTCACTTCATCTATTGACCCCCACGTGGTTTCCTCCAGCCAGGATTAGCTACAGCGAATAAAGCACGGTGTGGCAGACAACAGCTGGGCTTACGCAATACGTGCCCTATCCAGCGAAGCCTACTAATCTGAATTCGTTGAGCTAGGAAGTTTGTTCCTGATAAACTGCCAAACACGGCTTATCTCCAGATTAATTCGTTCGCTACATCCCACATGGGATAAACTACTTAAACACCAGTAGTCGATAGATATCTTCCACTTGCAAATTGAAGGTCTCAACCATGAGGCAGAAGTGAACGAACGGTAGCACCAAATACACAACCATTCGACT